GGCGTACAAGCTCAGCTAGAGCCGCAGAGTCAGTTTAAAGACGGGCACCTGGGCAGTGATGGGGAGGAAAGCTCCCAGGTGGACTGCCCATCTGTTGTTGGGCCAGGGGAAGACCTTCTACAACGTACAGCAGAAACTGGCAGCTGGTTTCCAATGAGCGGTTATCTGTAGACGGTGACACCCCAACCCCACCCGGAGCAGGGGAAAGTCAGGAAAACAGGAGGGGCTGCTCCGTGGAAAAGAGATAAGACTGACCCCTCAGCTGGCCTGTGAGTCACTCCGCCCCGAGGCGCTCCGCTCCCAAGTCAGGGCTTTTATTTTTAGAATCACGATTGTGAGAACGACCGTTTTTTGTTTCTTTTGTACAGTGCATTTTGCGTCTGTTGCTCTTTCCATCTGGCTTCCTCTGATAGGTTAGGGACTCTCCCTGATACCAAAGAAGGCCCCGGAGTGCCCCTCACCTCCTCGCTGGCAGGGCCCCTGGTGGAGTACGGCATTTTCCGTTTTCTTAGAACATGAAAGAAGGACTTATCCCTCCAGGCCCCTGGAAGGCCTGACCACTTCCCCCTGACTTTCATCACTGCTCAGACCAGGGGTCCTCAAACTACGGCCCTCGGGCCACATGCAAATACAAATATTGTATTTGTTCCCGTTTTGTTTTTTTACTTCAAAATAAGATATGTGCCGTGTGCATAGGAATTTGTTCATAGTTTTTTTTTTAAACTATAGTCCGGCCCTCCAACGGTCTGAGGGACAGTGAACTGGCCCCCTGTTTAAAAAGTTTGAGGACCCCTGGCTTAGACCATCTATGCAGGCAAGGGGGGAGTTATGGTATCGCTTCACAAATCATCCAATAAACCCTCCACATTAGATACTTCTCTTCTAATGATTGAATTATGTCCTTGGAGACCATTTATTTACATACAGGGGTGGGCAAAAGTAGGTTTACAGTTGTAGTACAAATAAATAATAATTAATAATAATCCAAGAATAAACTCTTTCGCTGGGGTAGCTCGGTTGGTTAGAGCGTTGTCCCCATATGCCAAGGTTGTGGGTTCGATCCCCGGTCAGGGCACTTACAAGAATCAACCAATGACTGCATAAATAAGTGGAACAACAAATCAATGTTTCTCTCTCTCTCTCTCTCTCTCTCTCTCAAAAAAAAAAATCATCTGTCAATAAAATTGGAAAAAATAAACTTTCGTGTACTCACAACTGTAAATCTACTTTTGCCCACCCCTATAGAATAGATGTAAGAAAGAGGGAAAAGGTGGACAACTTTTTTCTCCTCTTTCCCTCCAGTTGTCCAACAAGTCGGTAATCGTGGCGTTTAGTGGAAAGAGAGACGAGGACTTGAGTCCAGGAGGCCACTAGTTATTAATTCCGTGGCCTTGGCCTACGAGCGTCGTCTGAGACTGTCTCCTCGCCTGTGGCCCTGCTGAGGCTGTGTGAGGGGGACACTCGGGCAGGTGAGAGGCTGAGAAAGGGAAGGCTCCGCAGATGGCAGCATCCTGGCTCCCTCTTCTTAGCTACAACCCGGAGCTGTTCTTCCCACTCCGGGAGGCCTTCTCATCCCCTGCTTTTCTTCCCCCGATGGCAGGCGGTTGTTCCTACCTTCGCCTCTCCCTTCTTTTTTCACTGGACTGGCTAGCGATTATGGTTTCCATTATTTACCAGGCACACAAGCTTTAAATACGAAACTCTTTGTCTTCAAAACTGTCTGTAAACATTTCACAGTGCCTGCTTTCCAGGAGGAGTTCCTGGGCCCCCCCTGGCCGTTTTCTAACCTTCATGTTTCGGCTTCGCATTCGATATTGAGAACCAGGCGTTTTGCGTTTTCTGGGAACCGGATCTGATGGAGAGACTGAAGGTACCTCCTCCTCCGACTCCCTTTGCTGGGCGCTGGGGGCCTCCCCTTCCCCGCCCTCAGCCCCGCCTGCCGCCGCCTCCTGACACAAACTAATGCCCTGTGGATTTCAAAGCTCCTCTTTTTTTTCTTTTTTTTTTTTTTAGCTCCCAATGAAAGTCCCTTTGAATAGACTTTAGGAACTGACTTTAAGACACCAGGCTGGAGGGCAGGAGTGCCCCACAGCGCTCTCTACCCCGCGTCTGAGGCTGGGTGGCCCGATTCGCCTTTTGAGGATATGTCTCATTGATGTAATTCTAAAACAATTTGAAACCCACAGATTAAGAACATGTGTTTCTCCATGTCACATGTTGGGAGAGACTTCAGCTCATTCTGAAATCTATATTGAAGAATGTCTTAAAGCAAAATTGCAACTTCCCGGCTCTATCAACCACAGGTTATATGCGTCTGAGCACAGTGACCGGAGTCAGAGCAGAGGCCGGTCCCGCAGAATCCTCCCCTGACAAGGCCTCGGGGTCTCTGTGGTTGTGCAGGAAGGTGGGTTGTGGTGGCGGCGGAGGTGAGATAAGGTGGAGACATATGGCTCCTCTCAGACTCAGAATGTCTGCAGTGCTCCTCAGGGTGAGGCTGCCAGCATGCCCTCTGCTAGCTCCTTCCTTCCTTTACGCTTTATTATGCTTTATCTGCTACCTCTTGGGACATGCTTCGTATCTTCATTATCTACGGTAGCGCAGTACTTCCTCTTTTTGTCCTAAGATCGCCTCTTGCAAGCTTCAAGGAGTGCCCTCTGCCTTCGGGACTCGGACGCGAGGATTCCATTGGCATTTTCTCCTCTCGGTTCCACTTGATCCCGGGGCCTCGATGGTATCTGCTCAGCCTTTGTCTGTCAGGACTGAGAAAGCTCATTTGGGATCAGAAAAATGGAACTTGTTTACTTTTTTTTTTAGAAAATGGAAATTTCTCTAAGGCGCTTCCTCTGTGAGCCACATCCTGAGCCAGGGCGTGTTCACGGTGGAAATGCAGGGCCACGTTGTGGGCCTGTGGACAAAGGGTTAAGCGTCCAGACAGCGTGAGCAGAAGTGAAAAACAGAACCGATCCAAAACACATAACGTATCCTCCAAAGCAAGCCAGGCTCGCCCCTCGTAATGGGTCGCTGCAGACGCGCCAGATCCTGCAGCCAGTCAATGGTGTCCATATGGTAAAGCTTATCAGACCGCGCAGCGGCTGCGGCAATATGATTTTAATTACGTGCAGATCGGGTGCTGGCCGAACGCGCTGGGATTGAATAAAGTTAAACACAAGCCCTTTTATAACTGGGCCGGGCGGCGGTTGGCATGCATGCAGATGACTGCCTGGGCCGCGGGGGGAGTGTGTGGTGTGGGGGGTCTCTGGGGGCGGCCGGACCCATCTTCCCCAGGGGCGGGGGGGCGGCAGTTGTTTATCTGGAAGGGGAGAGTTTACAGAAACGGTGATTACGCTACTTTTGAAGCTGACACTCACGCTGATGCTCGCACCTTGCTCCTCGCATCCTCCCTGGCGCTGAGCAGGCTTGTCCCTGAAAGAGGAAATTGCTGCCCTCGCTGGTTTGGCTCAGTGGTTAGAGCGTCGTTTGCCGTTGTGTGCGGGAGGCAACCAATCGATGAGCCTCTCTCACATTGATATTTCTCCCTCTCCCTTCCACTCTCTCTAAAATGGAAAATTATCCTCAGGTGAGGATTAACAAAAAAAAAAAAAAAAAAAGAGGAGATTGCTCTTGGGGGACAAGGCCGCATTCGGTTTAGAAGGCTGGGGGTTGGTTGCCAGGGCGGACTGGTCGTTTTGAAACTTTTCTTCCTAACCAGACTGCGTTTGTCTATGCTCCTCGTTTCCCTGAAGCTTATTTGACAGAATGACTTCAAATGTGTGCTGCCTGCTTCACCCCAGAAAAGACACGGGCGCGCGTTTCTCCCGGGGCCCCGGCCTCATGGCTCCGGGGCATGCTCGTCTCAGTGTCAGCAGCACGGCTTTGGTTTTCTTCATAACTTCCAGACGCTTTCCTCACCGAGTGTCTTTCGGGGAAGCCACCCGGAATTCAGCTTCCTCTTCTGTGAAGTGAAGGTGGGCTCCCCAGAGCCCACTGGACGGAAGGTTGCCCGCAGGCGTCAGGACGGACGCCCTGGCCAGGTCGCAGGCCCTGCAAGCAGGCTGCTGTGACCTCCCAGGGCTCCTGTCCTACGGAGCTGCAAGGGCACCCGGTTGTCTGGAGCCTGTGCCGAGGTGGCGTCAGATCATTTCAGGGACCAGGCAAGCCCTAATCGGTGCCTTGGCCGGGGAGGGAGTGCCTGGGATTGAACTAAAGGGCAGGCTGCGGATGGATAGGCTGGATAGGCGTGGAAGGTTCTCCCCCCCGCCCCGGGGGAGTGACTGGGGTCCCCCAGGGTCGTGGGGGTGAGGGGTGAGCTGCAGGACCCCAGTGGGTGAGGAAGAAACACACTCCTGCCTCTGCTGCCTGTGGCTGCCTGAGCAGCAGCGATTTCCACCCGCCCCTCAGCCCCTGGGCTGACTGGGTGGCGGCCTCAGCCGTGGGAAGTGTCTGTCCACGCCAGTCCGTCCCTTTGTGACGGTTTGTGAAGATTCCCCGCACAGACACGAATCTGCAGAGATGCGTACACACTTTGGGCTTTTTGGCTCCATGATTTTCTGGGGAAAGTCGCCAATTTTAACCTAGAGGGAGTTCTGGGCTAGTTCATTAACTTGGTTAACTTTGTTACCTCCCTCTGGGGGCCTGGCTCTCCCTGGCTTTAGTTTCCAGCTGTGCGCCATGGCTCCTTACAATACAGGCTGCCCTCGCTCGATGGAGCAGAAAGCACAGACATTTACAGACACGATCGCTGTGCAATGTAAGAATGTGATTTGGCAGAGGCGCGCACCGAGAATATATTGGCAGCCCTAAGCCAGGGCAGATAACCATGCCAGGAGAAGAGGGAAGGCCTGTGGAAGGCAGACACTAGGCAAGGCTCTGAAGGATGAACAGGGGTTCGCTGGGCAGACACAAGGAGGGCGTCCCAAACGCCGGGGATGAAGACATGCAGGCATCAAATCCTGGCAGCGTCTTGGGTAGCACACATTCAGCGTGGTGGGAACACAGGAAATATGGGCGAGTGGGAATGCCCTGGCTATGAGACTGCTGCACCAGGTTGGGGCCACGTTGCAGTCCCCACGGTCCGTTATGGATTGACATGTCCGTATCGCCCGCCAAAGTGTCTGCACACCGAGATCCGGGAGTGGGTTTTACTTTCCTTCGAGTCCACCGTGGTTTTAAGAGGCCCAAACGGGTTTGCGCTGAACGTGGCCTGCGTGGGTGCAGGTTGGCAGGGGAAGTCGTTTGAGGCCACTGATGCGCCGAGTGGGCTGTGAACTGTCATGTGCCACAGAGATTTGCGTGGCCTTTCTCTCTCTCTGTGAGTACAGAGCCACGAACGGTGCTGAAACAGAGGCGGGGTCGGAGCTTACCTGTGTCTGAGGAAGTAGTTCTGGCTGCAGTGGGATAGACTGGCTGACGTGGAGGTTTGAAGGCTAGTTAGTAAGCGACTGTACTATCCAGAGAAGACACTGGAGGCCTGAGAGGGTGGAAGCTTGAGAGCTATCTATAAGGGAGAATAAGAATCCTGCCCCAATTCTTGGTGACCAATGGAAGGGTGCGGGTGGGGATCAAAGATTACTGTTGACTCGAGTGAAACTAAATCTGACTTTCGAGTAGGGTCATACTCAAAAGATTAAGAGGGAAAGAGATCCTAAGACGGGCACTGAATATAACTAGCTAATGGAGGCTGGCCTAGATTCTTAGTGTGTGTAGGAGTGAACTAGCCAGTGAGATTCACATGGGTATATGATAAAAGGAGCTGATTTATACAGAATATGCAACATACGCATTGCTCGTATAGCATCCGGAATATGCACCGACAAGAGGATATTCTGACGTTACAGATATAATCGGGGCTGCCGCTGTGGCTTCATAGGGGCAGCGTTACCCCCTACAACTCCTGCGTGTCCCTCTCACCCTTCAGCTCAATGTAGAAGGGACTGTTGCTTGTAACACCGATGAAGGTAGTTAGGGTGGGAATTCGATGGACTTGCGAGGTGAAGTCACATGACGGGAGTCTTTCTACGGCCAGGCCCTTAGTGTTGGGTGTGTGCCGGGTAGAAGGTGCCTTTCCGTGTTGAAAAGTGCTTCTTCCTCCTTTCGAAGGCCTTGAGAGCTGATGCTCTGATACGCGCCGGCAGCGGTGGGAGGATCCGGCTCTGGCAGTGGTGGTTTCAAGGCTTCCCCTGCCCTGGAAAGTGGCTCCTGCCGGGTGCTCCATGTGTTTCTCTTGCATTGATGTCTCTCTCTCTCTCTCTCTCTCTCTCTCTCTCTCTCTCTCTCTCCCCCTCTCCCTCTCCCTCCCTCCCTTTTCCTCTCCCTCCCCCTCGGTCTTGTTCAAAGTGAGTGGTATGTGGATTCAGCCATTAGAGGAAATGGACTCGGAGGAGCAGAGGAGAAATACAGTCCCTTATATTCTTTCACAACAATCGTGTTGCTTTAAAATTTGAGAATTTTGCTTCCATGCTTCAGGGGAAATAGCAGAATGCAGGCTTGGCTTGCTTCCAGCTGCGGCCCCATGTGGCTGGGGTTTCTCTGTGGCCTGAGACTCAGCTCGGAGGATGCGGATGCGGGGGAGGGGGCTCTCCAAAAAGCGACAGAGAAGAGCATCCCCTAGCGTGTCCCACCGCCCGGGGCCCACGGGAGGGAAAGGAGCCTGGTTGGTTCGAGCAGCTCAGACCACGGCTTCGCAGACAACCTCCAGCTCCCCGGGCCCTGGGGACCCAGTTGCTAACCTGCGGTCTGGAAGGGGCCCGGGCAGAGGGCGGGCCGTGCACCCAGCCAGGGCTTCTCCACACCATCCAGCCGGTGGAATCAGGTCCGGCCGCCTCCTCCGGGCCCCGCATTTATTTTAAAGAATGTCAGAAAGGAAATGTATCGCTTCCCACCTTCCTCCCTCTTTGGGTGTGTTTGTTGTGATTGGAAATCCTTCTCGTCCACGTGGCTGCGGCTTTCCCTTCCCTCTTTGTGCTGCTCGGCCGCACAGCCCTCTGTGCAAATAAACAGAGGCGGCCAGCACATGACTCCGCTGCGGGAGCAGGAGCGGCTGGGAGCTGGAGCACTGGGATCCTGTAACCAGGCTCCTGTCCTCTGGGGCCATTTCCCCTCGCCCGCCCGCCCGCCCGCCTGCCCGAGGCCAGGAGGGGCATGGAGGCCTTTAGTGCCTGCAAGCCCACCCCAGGGAGCCTGCAGTAAATGGTACCTCTGGCCCTGCTTCCTTTGGAGAAATCACCTGGGGTCTATCTTGACTATTCCTGTTTGGGGAGGAAATTTTGAGCTGCTCTGAACTTAATTAAAAGCTAAAAGCAAGAAATAAAGCTGGAGAATGTGTGCATCTTGGATAATCATACATTTAAAGATCTAGTTCCAAAGCTAATGAAACCTCCATCTGTTGGCACAACAGATGCATTTGCCTCCGGAACCGTTCACACTCACTCTCAGGCAGCAGGAGCCAGTGGCTGCGGAGACCACTGGGTGCCCGACGCCCACACAACCTCAGGTGCAGCCCCCCCGGGGGCCAGGGGAAGGGAAGGTGGCCTTTAGCTTTCATTCTTCCCGTCCTGCTAGACCTGGAAATAACAATTGGCCTTTGTACTGTCAGTTCTCTTTCAAAGAAATGATTTTGTAGAATGTAAATCCCTTTAGTTGAAAGGGAAAAAGAACTCTACAGCTACAGAAAGACACAAAAATCAAGTGTAAGGCTTAGTGAATGACTGTAAGCAGAACATCTCCACGTGGCCATCTGAGCCCACCCCCTCGATGGGCCCCCTCCAATCACAGACCCCCTCCCCCTTAAGTACCCCTCCTCTGCACTTCCACGGAATTCTCTCATGTTTAATTACTAACAGTTTTATCACCTAATTGTGTCTCTAGATTCAAAACTTTAATTTTGCTTATTTAAAAATATGTAATCTCTCTTTTAATGACTTTAACAGCTGTAGATACCTCCTCTGCCCTTTTATAATTTATCTATTGAACAACCTTTAGGTAGAACTGAAAGTATTTAAATTCTACCAGCAACACACTCACTATGCTTAATTTTTTTGCTAGCTATAGTTTTGAGACTTTCCCCCCCCCTAAAAACAAAACGATAACGCCGAATTTTAATTGAAGCCTGGCAAAACCTAAAAATAGACAGCATTTAAAAGGCTAAGAAAAAGGAACGTCTTTTGAATCTAGCCTGGCAATAGAAAAGAGCGTCGTTTTGCTGATATTCAGGGGTAGCTTTCATTCTGTGATACCACTGATTTTGTGATGTATGTGCTGGTAATATATATATATATATATATATATATATATATGTATGTGTATATATATATATATAATCATTATATTAATCATTATATTACATTTGATTATCTATGTTCTGGACAAAGAATAGAAAACAGCTTTATGGCTCTTTAAGAAAAAGCAAATTGCCGACCAGTGTTGCTCAATGTTCGCTTCCTGGTCAGGACACATGCCTGGGTTGCAGGCTCAATCCCCAGTAGGGGGCGTGCAGGAGGCAGCCAATCAATCTTTCTCTCGCATTGATGTTTCTCTCTCTCTCTCTCTCTCTCTCTCTCTCTGTGTCTCTGAAATCGATAAAAACAAAAGAAAAAGCAAACCCACAGCCAACTGCACAAGCCAGTTTGGAAGTAAAAATGCAGAGGTTCTGCTGTCCCAGGGCCTGTTTTCGGTTCTGGTTCCACCACTGCGTGATGCTGAGCACGTCATCAGCTTCTCTCCTGCTTCTTCATCTGGACCATGAATAGGACCTACTTGAATCCTGACTGAGAACCCGGAGAAAATGTCTCCACGCACAGTCTGGTGGATTGCCACAAGTCTAACCTGTGAGCGTGGCATCTCGGGTCTGTCTGAAGGAAGTTTTAGGAAAAGAACAGAACATTTCATCACAATTTCATCTTGGTCAGGGACATCGCAGTGGCCTGCCATCCCAAAGGAGGGCTGCTCTCAAGGTAAAGATCACTTACCGGGCTCCAGGCCTGGCTCCCTGCGGCCTGTCTTCCAGACCCCACAGGCTCTCCTGCAGTCTCACCAGTGGGATGGTGGGGATTCGTTCCAGACCTACCTGGTCTTTGTAGACCTAGATGGCGCTTGTAGACCTAACTAGCCAGCACTTGTAGACCTAGCCAGTGCTTGCAGGTCTGCCAGCACCTCCCACAATTCTAGCCAGTAGGGCTTGACTTGGGTCCCATCTTCTGGAGGTTTAATGCCCTCTTCTGGAATCTGGCTCCATTGTGCAGACACAGGACTGGTGTCATTGTGCCTCTCATGCTCCGTGGGTGCCCACTCTCTTTCCTAGGCTACAGGAGAAGGGACCCCCACTGCTTCCTTCTCTAGTCCCTGAAATTTCATACCCGTCCTTCTCAGGCTCTTCTTAGCTTTGAGCATTGGATGTAGGCATCTCATCGTTAAGAGACCTCTTGGTGGTGAGAAAACAGGATGGTTTCACTCTGGAGCTCAGTGCTAATGATGGGCGGACACTCACTCCTCTTTGCTCTCACCATCCCGTATCCACTTCTAATAGAGCACTTGTCACTTTGTTCCGTAACTCGAGAGCTTTCACACTCTTTCAGCCATGACCTATAAAAGAAAATATCCTTTACATTGCAAACCAGTACACCAGACATGTTTAGGATTGATACAGGCCTGCTGTTCTTTCCGTGGGAATTTCCTGGACTTTACTGCATGCACCCTGATGTTTTCCATCCCATGCCATTCTCTTCTACTTTCTGGGTTCATTCACTTACTTTTTAATGCTGATTAAGACCCAGGAAATTTAATGCCGTGACCTTCTATGGAGTCGCAAGCTGCTGTTTGAACAACACAGCACTAATGAATGTGCCTGACTCCCCCTCCCCCACCCCTAGCTGGACTGTGGTCTCACTGCGGGCAGGAAGCCAAGCGTGTCCACGTCTCCTTTGTATGCTCAGCGCTCTGAGTTGAACTGAGGAACTCAGCCAGGTCTCGTGCCCATGCTCGCCCTGTGAGCAGGTGAGAGAACACAATGAGGTCATGTGTTTGAAGCAGAGAACACGGGCCTCACACCAGCACATGCTCAGTGAACACATGTTTCTTGGGTTTTCCTGGGCCTGGCCCTCCCTCTAATTGACCATCCGCCTGCTCTGCAGTTTTTTTAAGCGTAATGAGTGGTTTGAACTCCATTAGCTTAAGGCCTCGCCCAGGCCGGCACCTTCTGACTTTCTAAGATGCCAGGCGCCAGGACACTGCCCCGCAGGGACAGGCTGAGCAGGGGCGGGACCTGGGGAGAGTCCTTTTGTCCTTTCCTGGTGGGACTCACCTCCAGGATGAGTAGAGACGTGAGCTGATTATTAGGGTTTCTTTGCAAAAATGAAAATTGCTTCCACGTTTGAAAAGATTATAGGATGCGTTTGAGGTCAACAGGAAACTTAAGCGTTCGGCAATCACAGGCCTTGTTGAAAGCTCTTATTTCAGAAAGAGCCCTGGTTAGAGGGCTTGCGGTTCCCCAGCGCCTGGCCGCTGGACGGTGGGCGGGTGCGCTCTCCGGGCACCTTCAGCATTTCCTCCGCGTAACCATTGTAACCATCGTTGGCCACTGGCGCGCAGTTGCTTGCGCTCCTGGCAGCCAAGGCGCACAGTCAGGTTATGGGGGAAAATAGGCTTCCACAGGCAGCTTTGGCGTCAGGCAGGCAGGAGTTTGTTTGATTTGTGCTCCTCTCCTCGGTGAAATGCGAGCTTTGGGTTTAACGAGGTGTGATCTGGCGAGTCCCATGGGAGTAATGTAACGAGCCCGTGTTTTCTTCTTCTAGGACCGAGTGACGTGGAAAAAGGGAGCCCCCAGGCCCAGCGGCTCCGGAAGCCTTTGCTCGCCAGCCGCCTGGGTTGGCTTTCAGGTCAGTAGCTCCGCTTGGTGCCCGCACGTTCTACCAGCGCTTCTCGCCAGGCAGCCGTCCTGGTTAGCAGGCGGGGAGGGAGCGGTGCCTGCAGCTGTCTGGGCGTCGGCCTCCGGTGTTTCCAGACCCGGGGAGGGGGAGCCCGTGGTGTGGAGGTGATTAGCTCAGCTTGCTGCCCCCGGCCCGGACAGGGAAGCTTCCATCTGCTCCTGGGCCCTGCCCCTGCCCAGAGTCTGATGGACAAGGAAACCAGGTAATGCGTGTTCTGCTCCAAAGGCTAAGCTCCCTCCACAAAATGAGAAAAAGGACTCCCCCACCGTTTTGTTTTCAAAGTGAACACATATTCAGCTGCCCTACCAGGCAGGCTGTCACAGGGGCTGCACATAGGGAAAAAGAAGTTAGTGTACTAACCGGTCTTTTTCTCACTCCCCTCTTCTCCGTGGCTCATCGTACTCATCGCATTAACCCCCTGGCCTGGTGTCACACCCTGCCGTGGTTCTACGTTTCCACATAAAAGAGGAGGAATGTCCAACCGTGTCACGCCCCTGGGAATAACCCCCCCGACCCCCCCCCCCTGCCCCCCCGCAAGGCTCCCATCTCCCTCGGGATTAAATCCAGCCTTCCACCCAACTTTCAAGGGCTCTGTGGCCCTTCCCACCCCTCTCATCAGCCTCACTGCTTGCCTCTCCCTCACCCGGGGCCCCATTATCTCTTAGGTCCCGCTCAGTCTTGGCTCTTGCTGATCTTTGTCTGGCATGATCTCTCAGCCCCTTCCTCCCTCTCTACGCTCCCACCATGTTTCAGCCCCACCAGGCAGCCTTTCGGGACCCGCTGCTCCGGGCTGCAGGCCTCCCCCATGTGCCCGTGGTCCCTGCAGAGACCTCTGCCCCTCACTCACCACATCCTGCCCGGATCACATTCTCACTTTCGCCTCCCTCCCTCCCTCCTGCAGGCCTGGCGCTGTGCGAGGTCAGGTCTTCCTTGTTCTCGGGGCCATCGGCACCGCAGGCAGGGCACAGACCTGGGAGCCTTACTCTCTGGTTCACGTCCCGGCTCTGTCACTTACCGACTGTGTGACCTTGGGCCCCGCCCCTCTTATCTTTGCTCTTCTGTAAAGTGGAGGGGACAAAACTACGCACATTGCAGGGCTTCGTGCATGTGGAGTTACAATGTGTGAAACGCTACGGATCGTGCCAGGCCCGTGGTAAGAGCTAAGTGTTGCCTGCTGTCAGTGCTCATCTCACTAACGGTGAAGTTCAAGGAGATGGTGCCTTTGCCCCTTGAAGATCAGAGGTATGCAAATTGCAACCCTGATTGTAAATAATAGATATTTTCTGTAAATTTTAGAACATTTGCTAAAGGAAGCTGAGTGTAAGCATAGGATGTCATGAGACCTCTGGGTTTCTGCAGCCGCCCTCGATTGAACAGAACCGGCAGGCCAGCGGGCATCACCGCTGTTTTGATCCCAGATGCGTCCAAACTCGTAGGCCTGCCAGAGACTTCCAAGGCTTTGGCCACATCGTTGGGTTCTCTGAGGCCTGCCCTAGTCCGTTCTGGCTGCTATAACAAAAATACCGTAAACTGAGTGGCTTATAAAGAGCAAAGGTATTTCTCACAGTCATGGAGGCTGAGAAGTCCGAGGTCATGGCACTGGCGGATTCAGTGTCCGGTGAAGCCACGTCCTCCTAGATGGCACCTTCTCGCTGGGCCCTCACCTGGTGGAAGAGGCAAGGGCGCTGGGGACTTTTTACAAGGACACTAGTCCCACTCGTGAGGGCTCCACCCTCCTCGCCCAGCACCTCCCACAGGCTTCGCCTTCGAAAGCCGTCACGTCAAGGGTTAGGTTTCAACATAGGAATTTGGGGGAGACGTGGCCATGCAGACTATGTCACCTCCCGTTCCCGCACCACCACCACCACCCCCAGCACCCCTGCCATGTGAAGACGTGGGGAGGGGCCCTGGGGCAGGTGCCCGTGGGCCTGAATGTCCTCTAGCTCAGGCCATGGCAGAGTCTGCGTCCCTTAGCCCACTCACCACTGTTCTCAACAGAAATGCTCAGATTCCACTGGACTCGGCTGTGACAGCCCAAAGGTGTGGTCCACTCGTGGGGAAGAGCGAGGACTCAGAACTGTTGCCCATCCTGGCGACGTGGTGGCTGTGTGCACTGCCCTAGGAGTCCGCAGGCCATCGGCTCTCTGCACACACCCCCACCAGAGCACACGCCTTCCCAGACCTACGACCCCTGCACGTGCCCTCCAGGCAGCAGGCACTGCCACCTTCCGCCACCTTCTCTGGGCTCAGCGGGGCTGTGGACATGGAGGAACCACGCATCCAGCAATCCGGGCCATTTCATTGAGTCATGTATGGACCTGCCCCCTGGAGAAGAGAGGTGAGTGTGTGTTTCACATCTGGAATTCGATGAACACGCTCAGGATGAAGGTCATCATAACCTTCCTTGACCCTGCTCCTTCCTGCGGCTCCAAAAGGCCTCCCCCGGTGAGGTCCACAGCCCTGCTGCGGGCCCTGCACCTTCTCTTTCTTCTTAATCCGCCTTCTGCCGCCGGCTCTGCCCCCACCGCTCTGTGACATGTTATCTCGCTGGCCACTAATGACCTCCTTTATTTATTCATTCATTGATTTTGTATTAAATCTGTTTAATATCTTTAATCATTCCACTATTTCTGCATCCTTCCACTAAAGGGCCTTACAGTTCTTCAGTTTATCGCAAGCACATCTTTGAAAAAGCCAGCCCTGGCGTTGAAGCTGTAATGCATGTTTACTTATTGGCACTCTACTGCGAAGCACCCTGGGGACCATCTGGTTGCAACGCGTGGCATCGTCTCGCTCAGGGTCCTGTTGTGCGGGGCCGTATGGCAGGTGCGCACTCGCCGAACCTCAGATGGCAGGACCCTGGGCCGCGGGTTTGCTACGGTCCCGCCAGCTGCTTCTCGTCGCCCTGGACAGCCTGGTGGCGGGTAACGTTGAGACCCCGCCTTGTCACCGCTGCTCTGCTCACAGGTGACTCCACAGTGGCAGAACACTCTGCTCCCTCGGAGGCAAGGCCCAGCGAAGGCCTCCCACACCCCCGGCCAGCACGGCGCTCTGCGGGACAAATTCTCTACCTCCTCAGTTGTGTTGATTTCAGGTGCTGCCTCATTGGCTCATTTCTTAATCTGTGCTCTTGCTTTGTTTGCACCTTTGTCATCTCTCCTCCCGTCACTCTGCGCATGGCCACTGTGACCAGCCACCAGCAGGCCCTCCACCCGTTACGGCCTGGTGGCTGCTGAGCGTTTTACACCGTGGGTCCAAAGCTGCACCCACAGCACGATGCGCTAGTGGGGTCTCCTTGCATGCACTCAGTTAAACCCAGCACCTCACAGAGTCATCGTCACTTTCCTCTTCTTGCGGGGGGGGGGGGGGGAGGTTCCGGGCCCATGAGTGGCCTCCTTACCAGTAAGAAAAGCCGCCGTGTCCTGCCTCAGCCTCCCAGGCTGTCACTGCTGCCACCCCACTACCCGGTCCCGCCACCCCCTCTGCAGGAAGCTCTCCCTCCGGCTCACCTGACAGAGCCTTGCCTCATTCCCTCGGCTCCTGGCCAGACCCTTGGCTGGACCCTCTCCCCCCAACCCCAACAAGCAGATTTGGGGGTGCCTTCAGGATCTCGATTCTGTTCTCTTAGTGATACATTGTCTCTTTTCAGAGAAGCCACTCAAGGGGGACTTCTAGATTCGATTCTCCATTCTGACTCCTCTTCTGCATAATTAATTGTCATCTAGATATTTCAGCTTGAGGATCTCTTCACAGTCAATGGAGTCATATCAAATTATTCAAAGTAATTTTTTGAGTAGAAAAAAATAAAACTACTTTCCCCCAAAACAGGTTGATTTGAGAAGGGTATGCCTCCTTTTCACTAATTTTGGAGGTGACACTTTAAGCTTCTTGTTATTGGTAAATATTCCATTGAACTTTTAAAAAATATGTTTTATTGATTTTTAGAGAGAGAGGAAGAGAGAGAGAAACACTGACGAGAGAGAAACATTGATTGGCTGCCTCCTGCAGCCAGGATTGAGCCCGTAACCCAGGCATGTACCCTGACCAGGAATCAAACCGGTGACCTCCTGGTTCATGGGTCAAAACTCAACCACTGAGCCACTCCGGCCAGACTCCATTTAATTTTTATATGAACATTAAAATTGAATACCTGGTTAATATGGAAATGGCCTTGGAGAGTTGGTTGCCTGGTTTCAGGCGAGGTGAGATGCAGTCAGTTCTGCACTTGGTGCGACGTGCCCCCATGTCAAGAGCTCCCCTCAGCTGGCTCCCGTGTGGCCCCCACAGATAACCTGAGGCAGAACCCTCTGTGCCCTGAGGCCCCCGTAGCAAGATCTCACATGGAGAGAATTCTGTTTCTGTGGAATTTCACAGCCTCGCCCCTGGCCTGGCCTCCCGGAGACTCTGTTGTGCTTGGACAAGAAGAAAAATTCTCTGTGAACTTGAAACTTTCATTTTGGTTGGTTTCTCCTCTTTCACTTCCTCCTGGTATTAATGGCTGCCCATGGATCCAAGGTAAACCATTTTCCCAAACATTTGATGTTTTACTGCCAGGTTATGAGGCCCAGCCTCCTAATTTGCCCCGTAAAGTTCTAGAAGGTAAACATCTGAGCATACAGTTTCATAGGTGTCAAACTCACCCTGTGGGCACATGCCCCTTTTGTTACCTCTTTGAACTCCGAAGGAGGTTTCAGGGGTGTGCGCCAACGGACACCGCCATTGCATTGGGTACATGCCTTACGCCTTACCTAAATGCCTGGGCCCAGGGAGAGGGAGCAAGCACCAGCCTCAGCCTACCTGACGGACAGCCCCACATGCACACACATGTGCACACAGACATGCACACAACCTGCCTGCCGGCTCCCCCGAGCCCAGCACACACGTAGTCTTTGTAAAAAATATATATTTTATTGATTTCAAAGAGGAAGAGAGGGGGAGAGAGAGAATCATTGATCAGCTGCCTCCTGCACGCCCCCTACTGGGGATTGAGCCCACAACCCGGGCATGTGCCCTTGACCGGAATTGACCCCGGGACCCTTCAGTTCGCAGGCCAACGCTCTATCCACTGAGCCAGACTGGCTAGGACCACACATATATTCTTCACGGTTTGCAAAAGACTTCCTCAAACACACACTGGATGTCACGTGGAGAGTCCAGTGTGGGTAGAGACTGGACACCTTGAACAATTTCCAAAAGTTCCTCTCCTTTCTCTTTACCCGTCAACCTCCCTCCCCTCCCTTAGCCAAGACAGGTTTCCACGGGGCCCTGTTTCTCCTGGCTCTTATGTTTCCCCTGTCATGGTCTTTCTCCCAGCAGGGCTCCAGCCTCAGGGGTCCCTCCTGGAGGAGCGACTGTGACCTGTGTATCCAGGACCCTGTGCAGTGGCTGTTCTGAGCCGTCCTCCCCGCCCTGGCCCTTCCTCTTGTGCCCAGTGGCCTTGGCAAGTCCATCGGACCCTGGGCAGGAGAGAGCTGAGGCCTGGGTGGGGGGCCAGCCCCGAGCCCTGTCATCACTCTGTTCTAACCAGCTGTGCTCACTGGCACGAGGAGTTCATTATGAGCCGAGTCAGGGACCGATATTGTGACCTCAGAGTCCATCGCCCTAACTCCCGGTGGCCACTGAGCTACGCTGAGAGGATGTGCGCCAGACGACCCTGCAGGCAGGTCAGGTTTGGTTTTCCATCATAAGCAAGTCCCTGTGCACACCAACCACCAGGTGAGTGGGCACCCACGTGCATACGTTGTAAGTTATTACTGCAGAAAATCTGGGGCCTTGCCAGTGGGATCCGATTTATAAAGGCTGCGCAAAAATACAGAATGAGAAGAACGAGGAACCAAGGGTGACTATGCCCGAGACTGGGCAGCAGAAGCCGGAGATGAGCCTTGGCTTGCAAAGAGGCAGAGACGGAGAAGAGGACTTGGGGCATTATCTTTAGACAGAAGATTCCTTTGGCGTCTCGTCTCCGTGATGCCGAGTGTCCGACGGCTGGGGGTGAGGCTGACACCGATGCCCAGGTGAATCCCAACCCCTCCTACCGTGGCTTTCTACTCGGACCTGCTTCTGACCTTAGACCAGCCATTACAGTGTGAAGTTTGGGAGAGATGTCTGGACTTCTAATCAGCGCAGGGATTTGAGAATTGTGTATCTTCCGGCTCTGCAGACCTAGACTGTCCTATATCCTGTCACACACAGAACGGGAGCTGTGGGGAAAATCCAGGTCAGGATGGAACACCTCATTACCTCGCCACCTCGCCCTGTCCCACCTCCCCGGCCCGTCAGCACCTGTCACTGCGGAACTGTTCGTAGGGAATCCCTCTGGGGTCACGATGAAGGGAAAGGCCTACACATCACACTTCCAGTCCAGACTTGGACACTGGCATTTGAACAGCCGGAATCGAAACGTAACCCGCTGCCTTCATTTCCTCTCCATCCCTCCCTTCTTAGCCTCCTACCATCCATGTCCCCCCCTCTTCCCTCCACTGTTTAAAAATCTCCCATGGGCTCCCCAGGGAATTCCAAGAGGCACTTCTCAGGGTCATAACACTTGACCTCCCTGATGGTGGCCCACCCCACCTTCCTCCAAAGTCTCTCTTCCCTTGACCTCTGTGGCCCTGAAACTCCCATGTCCTTTCGCTTCTCTGGCAACTTCTCTTTCTTGTTTGGAGGGCATTCCACAAGGGCTGTCCGTCCTCTGGGCCATGACGCTCTCTGACCTCCCGTGGGAGCAGCTCTTGCATCCATATCTCCCACGGAAATAGAGCTCCCTGCCCGTCTCCCAGGCTGAATGACAGAGATCAGTCCCCTCCTTCCCGCCCTTTGCCCACACCGGGGGTGCGCTGCATGTCTGCTTTTCCTCGGAAGTAGCTCTTAACACGCACAGCCATCTCACTTCCGGCCCCTCACGCCTGGAGCATTTACCCCAAAACCCGTTTGATCAAGCTCATCAACAAGGTAGGTTTGTATTATTCCTCAGTTTTTCAAAGTCTTTTTAAAAATTGAGATACAGTTCATTCTTCCAATTTTTGATTGTTTATGTATCATATACTGACTAGAGGCCCGGTGCACGACATTCATGTACTCGGGGGGTCCCTCAGGCTGGCCTGCGCCCTCTTGCATGCAGTCCAGGAGCCCTGGGGGGATATCCTTGTGGGGGGCGGGCCTAAGCCAGCAGTCAGACATCCTTAGTGCTGCCGTGGAGGCAGGAGAGGCTCCCGCCACCGCAGCTGCGCTGTGAGCCCGGCTCAGGGCTTCTGGCTGAGCGGTGCTCCCTCTGTGAGAGCCCACTGACCACCAGGGGGCAGCTCCTATGTTGAGTGTCTTCCCCCTGGTGGTCAGTGCACGTCATAGCGACTGGTTGTTCCACTGTTCAATGGGGACTTAAGGAACAGAAATGTATTTCCTTACCATTCTGGAGGCCAGGAGTGCAAGGTCAGGGTGCTGTCAGGCTTGGCTTCTGGTGGGCGCTCTCTTCCTGGCTTGTAGGTGGCCACCTTCTTGCTGTGCCCTCGCAGGGCATCTTCTCCGGGCATATGGAGGGACAGAGAGAGGTGGTGGTGGAGATATGGTTTTATAGGACAGGGAGAGGTATGTGTCTCTTCTTCTTATAAGGATAGCAGGTCTATCAAAATAAGGCCCCACCCTTCCCACCTCATTTATCCTTTGTTATGTCCGTCGGCTTCATCCTCATCCAATGCGCTCACATTAAGGGTTAGAATGTCACATATAAATTGGGCAGATGGCCACCTGCTGCTCAGAGCGTCACTTACATGTTGATGGCTGCCGTCTTATCCTTGCAACCAAATTACGATCTCCAAGAGTTCACAGCCAGCTTTCCTCTTCATTTTATCCC